AGGGAGGGCTGATTATTATTATTCTGATTACTTTTAGGCTGACCTGACATGAGAAGAATCTGTACAACAATTTAAAATTGGTTCATTCTGCGTTTTGTGGTTTATTAAGTTTATTTCCTTCACACACAGAGGTCTAAAGGAAAACAAGAGGTGCATCTAATCTAATATAGTTTATGAAACAGATCACATTTAAGCACGGAGGCTCGTGTTCACCTTGCTCATCCAGCAGCTTTTTGGCCAGTTCTTCGTTTTCTGCCTCGTCCACTCCCTCCAGTTCAAGAGGTTCGTCTGCGATGTCCAGAGCCTCGAGCTCCAGCTCCAGTTCCTCTGTGGTGCTGGCAGCCTCCCTCGCCTCTCTGCCATCTGAACCAGAAAGCAACGGCAACACGGTCAGAATAAAACTCTGTGAATCTCCTTCTTCACCCGTCTGTGGATTTATTAAACATACCTTTGGCGTCGTCCTTGTCTTTGCCCTGGCCGCTCTTCTCGTTGTCCTTGAAGAGGATGGCAGGGACGAAGGCCTTCAGGTCCACCAAGTTCTCATAGAAGTTACGAGCGTCCTCGTCTTCCCAGATCCCTCCCTCCAGGTCGTACTCTCCAGGCTTACCAGGGGTGAAGATATCAATGCCGGGGCCGTGCTCTGAGGAGGGAGAAACCATCGTTATACATACAAAAGGATAAAAGACGCATCTTAGATTTTTAATTGACTATAATTGTGGAAAAGAAAGGCCACACACCCTCCTGCACAGTCTTGTCCTGCGGCAGCTCTGGCATGTTTTCATCGAGCAGATCAGCCAGGGACTGAGTGTTGGCCAGCAGCTTCTGGTAGGAAGTGGCAAACTCTTCGTACTGCTTGTGCCTGTCTTCACTCAGCTCCCCTTTGGAATGTAGGATACGCCTGAAGAGGAGAAAGCGCACAGAGGTTTTATTATAGGGAACAACGATAAGACCACTTTTCTTTATGGGGGGGGGGGGGGGGGGGGGGGTCTGACCTGTTCTGCCTCTCGGTGTTCTGCAGCTCCCGGTGGTCCTTCTTCAGGTGTTTGGTGAGCGATGTGAAATACTCCCGGAGGAGGTTCTGGAAGGGCTGCTGTTTCTCCGTGCTGATTATCTCGCTCGGGGGGAAGCTCAAGCCGAACTTCTCGGCGGCCAGCTTCACCTTGCGGGGCACCAGACCGGCGATGTCATCCCCGCAGTGCTTACAGAAGCTGATCACCACTGACACGTGAGTGTGCGTCTCCCGGTCGGTCCCGATAATGTTCTTCAGCTGCTCGTAAATGAGCGAAAGGCCCTCTTTGTCCGTGAAGAGGCCGACGATGGTGAGCTCGGCGATGAAGCGCAGGTCTGTGCGCAGCTTGCTCACGTTGGGCGCCTTTTCCTCCTTCCTCGCTTCGAAGTGCTTCTTCCACGCCTGTAAGAGCAACGGAGCAAACTCGGCGTACCGCTGGTGGAAGAGGGAGCACAGGTGGACCGCGCAGCCCACGTCGGAGATCTTCAGCTTGGCCTCCACGACGGAGCTCACGGCCTCGCCGATGTACTTGCTGAGGTTGAGCGAGCCAAAGTCGTTGGAGAGCGAGTCTCGCTGCTGTTCGGTGAGCGTACGCAGCTTCTTGACAAAGGCAGTGTTCTTTTTAAGGCTGGAGTCCAGTCGGCTGAAGAAGGCCTCTTCGGGCCGACCCTCCTGGGCGTTCTGGTTCTTGCTGCGGAGCTCCTTCCTGCACTGGTGGCGCTCCCAGGCCTCCTGGTGCAGCTGGTGCCCCTCCTCCTTCTCCCTGCAGAGATTAGGTAAAAATGGATGAAACCAAAAGCATTCATGGCACATTACTGGTACGCTGGCCTTTAACTGTGACCAGACTTTTTATGTTTTCACGCCAGTCTTGTCGCATACGGTTATTTTTCAGAATAAGTTCAATTCACACGTGACTTGTTCTACACACAACTCTAAAAATACAGGTTTTCGTTCCACAGGTGACTGCAGAAAGTGTCCGATTTGAAACTCTAATGCCGAACTATCCGCCAGCGGCTCCCGTTGGCGCGGTTACCGTGGAAACGGACAAACCTCGGTACCGACAAAAACTCCCAAATGTGACGATTGATTTAAATGCAAACTGCATCAATCGGGCTTTGAGGGATTGTTAGTTCAGCATCACTTACTTCAGGAGAGCCGCCTCCTCCTCGCGTTGTCTTCTGGCCTCCTCCTCCTGCTGCTTCCTCTCCTCCTCCTCCTGCTGCCTCTTCTCCTCCTCCTCCTTCTTCTTCTGCTCCTCCTCCTCCTTCTGTTTTTCCTCCTCCTTCTTCCTGCGCTCCTTTTCCTCCTTCTTCTTCTTCTCCTCCTCCAGGCGCTTCCTCTTCTCCTCCTTGCCGCCGTCCTTCTTCCCGCTCATTTTGGCCTCGTCCTTCGCCTTGTCCCGGGCGGACGCCGGTCTCCTCTCGCCATCCCGGTCCTTCTCTTTCTCCTTGCTGGCGAAGGAGCAAACGTCTTTCTCGTCCATGTTCACTGAGCGCTTGCGTTCAGCAGGCATACTGTGGAAAGACAGCACAAACAGGTTGTTTTAAACATTTAAAGTATTACCTGAATCCTTAAAGACTCTTTGAACCACCTGTGCGAATAAATATTCAGCCTGTTGCACAATAGAAAACACTTTAAACAACTTTTTCCCCCAATTTTCAGCTGTTTTTCCTAATCCAAACAAAGACGCCGGCCGGAAAACTCAGTTTTATCGACGCTGGTTTATCTACGGACGCTTCTTTGCATTTTACTAACACATATATATAAATTCATACAAAATAATACAAGATTTTCCTTCAAAAAAAAGGACATAAATCAACATCAGTTACGAGGTAACGCAGCAGCAGCTTCAGAAATGGGTGGAAAATCTTTTAGAGCAGCAGAAAAAACACTTTTAATCTGAAAAAAACATGCAAAAGGAGTCATTTATTTCAAACTGGGGCTTTTTTTAAAATGTGTATTTTTTTTTTTGTATTCTGCAGTCTCAACTCTTTGATTAACTTCTATATAAACAACATTTTTACATCACATTTAAAACAACAAAGCGACGAGGCTCCGTTCTTCCCACTAGCTACGTAACACCAGACATTAACCGTCTCCAGGAGAAAGTGTAAAGCAAAATAAACTACAATTCAGACTGCAGGTTATAAATCATTACAAGTGTGACACACAAACACACGCAGCGGCGAACACCGTCCATTAGCCACCTAGCACAGCAGAACAGCCTCGTTTGGCTTTTAACAGCCACACGAATGACAAAGCGGCTCAATCCCAGCCTTAAAAGAAGCCAGCCGGACTCCCAAACCCGTAAAAAAAGCGGTGAAGTTTCCAAAACGGAGCACAAACTCACGATATTGACGTTAGCGTTAGCACGGCTGGCGCGTTTTCAGCGAGGCCACTGGGAAACAAAACGTAAACAAACGTCGTGACAGCGTCCAGCGAGCAGTCAGCGGGCGTTTAATCGTCGCAGTGGGAGGTGGTGGTAACGTACTGCGGGAATCCCGGTTCGGCGGTGGTGGTTTTCGCGTGAATTTCGGTGTAAAATCAAAAGATTTACCTGCTAATTGTAGCAAAACAAACATCGGTCATTAGCGTTGGTTTCCGTGTGAACCGCGGAAGGACCCTCTCGCGTCGAGTCCACAAATCGTGCCTTGCTGAAAATAATATTGTTACTGTTACAATTCTTTTATATGTGTTTTTCATACAGACTGGCGTGTTTGAATTCGGTAGTTTAACGTTAGTGTGTTATAATTGAACGCCTACGTTGCTTTATAAGTTGTGTCACACCGACAGGCAATGCTTAGGGCGACTACTCGTGTAACAGTTCGCCTGTGACAGCTGAAGTTTATTTATTTATTTTTGATTGATCGATTTATTCGGTACGACGGAGTATTAAGGCCATACTAATGAAAATATATTATTTTTTTGGAAATTACGAGAATAAAGTTGTAATAATATGAGAATAAAGTCGTAATGTTACGAGAATAATGTCGTAATGTTACGAGAATAAAGT